GGGGCCGGGCGATGGTGGGGATGGGGTGATGTGGCCTCCAAGCTGTGCTGGGCCAGCTGCTCCATGGATGCAGGGTCGGTGGTGCCAGAGACGTGGCGTGTGGCACTTGGCAGCACGTCGGGGCTTTGTCCCCCGCCCGGCTCCACCTGCTCCAGGGGGGCTGTGCTGCCCACATGGAAGACCCACACTCCGGGCACCCCAGCGTTGCTCTCCCTGCAGGACAGCAGCACACATGGATGTCCATCACTGCTCTGTTGGGAAACAACCCCCCAGCCCACACCCTCTTCCCCCAGGACCCCAAATGCAGCTCCTTCCTCCCCCTGCCCACAGGGCTGTGACCTCCAGTGACACCCAGCACCCCCAGCTCGCTTCCCTCCTTCTTGCAGCCTTTCAAAGAGGCTGGGGGCTGGGAGAAGGTGTCCCTGCCCCCCCCTGCCCACCCCACATGCCCTCCCCCAGGGCACAACTCACCACTCCAGCTGCCTCAGAGCCTGCTCACTGCTGGCCAGGCTGTGGAAGAGCCCGTCCCTCTTCGGGTCATCGCCGTCCCCCCAGCTGAAGCCCACCCTGGCTGGTAGCTCCAGCTGGACATTGTAGGACTCTTTGGGCCGTGTCCCCAGGAACTGGAGGCCACCCTCAGGGTACAGGAAGATGGTGTAGGTGTCCTCATCGTCGTAGGCTATGACTGCTTGGAAAGTGTTGAGCTGTCAAAGGGAAAAGCAGGAGAGAGGGACGTCATGAGGGGACAGGACTGCAGAGGAGGATGGAGACAAGGAGGGGGATTAGGGGACACAGCAGCCACCTTCTCACACACCACAGTGTATGAGCCATCCATCACAGAAGCTTAGGGGTTGGAAGGGACCTGGAAAGATCATCTAGTCCACCCCCCCTGCCAGAGCAGGATCACCTAGAGTACAGCCTACAGACATCTCCTGGGGAAGAACAGGAGCATGGTCAAACCCTGGTGCAAACCCTGATGCTCAGCATCCTCCACCAGGGCCCATGACACAGCCAGGCCACCCCTGCTCACCTGTACCTTGCCCGGGAGCATCCCTGCCCACATAACCTGGGTTATCACCCTGTACCCTGGGAGCCCCTTGCTCCCATCCCCCTCCTCCTGCCACCAGCATCCCATCCCACCAGCACTGGAGGAAAACCCACCCCCTCCCCTCGCTTCCCCCTCCCCGGGAGAACAATTTTAGCTTGGTTTCCTCAGGAAAAAACATGCGTGTGGCTCCTGCTACCCCCACACCCACAGGTCCTGCTCCGGGCACACTGCCTGCCCCGTGCCAGCCCTGCCAGCCTTGGAGCCCTGCCAGCCTGTGGAATGAGCACAACCCTTAACGAGCCACCAGAGAACACACACACGGACCCCCCACTCACACCCCAAAAGTGGAAAAAACCAAATCTTCAGCAAAGGAAAACTGATTCAAATCCTGGTTTCACCCCCCAAAACACTGAGGGGACACACACACACACTGGCTCCCTCCGTGCCACCCCCCTGCCCTGCCTATCCTCCCAGCTCCAGCCCCAATTTTTTTTGGGGAAAAAATGGGTTTCCCAGCAGCCCCGTGGGATATAAAAGCCTTGTTGTGTGCGTGGCAACACTCGGGGCATTCAGAGACCCTGTGACACAGCAGCCAAAAAGTTGAGGGGGAGATTAAACCCCCCCAAAGGCTGCCCCAAGGCTGGATTCCTCCCCCCCACGCAGCCAAACCCTGGTGGCAGCTGCAAGATTGATTTTGCCTTCTGGGGGGTGGGGGGACCCGGTGTGTGACACTGAGGTGCTGGCACTGAGGGACAAAGAGAGCTGGGGGGGTGGGGGTGGGGGGGGTCAGTCCCCTGCTCATGACCCGTTGGGTCCCGGCAAAAAATGCTGCGAAGGGCAAATTCCAGCCCAAAGAGCAATTTTCCTCCCTCAGAAGTGGTATCAGCTCTTGCCCTGCTCTGGAAAGTGTCACTGCTGAGACTGAGGAGAGTGTCCCCGAGGAGCTGTGACTTGCCAAAACACGGGGGGGGGGGGGGGTGGGTAGGGAGGGAGTGAAGGCTTGGAGGTCAATCCCTGAGCAGCAGGAGGGCAGCGTTTTGACAAACGGCACGTTTGGTCTGAAAAAAACAAAAACCCCAACCAAACAAAACAAGCACAAAAAAAGAAAAAAAAAGTGGCATTTGGGGAGTTTTGTAGCAGTTTTGGCTCAAAGGGAGCCCAGCCAAGCCCGGGTACTTCAGTGGGTCTTGAATGAAGCTTTCCCTGGAGCTGCTCGTCTTGTTTGAAAAACTGATCCAGCTTTGCAGAGAGGAAAACAACCAAAACCAACAAAGCATTGGGAAGAGAAGAGGAGGCCACGTTTCTGGTGGCCATGAGGTCGCTGCGAGGCCCCTGATGGCATCTCTTCAGCTGCTTCTTTTCCAAGTTGGAAATTAGAGGGGGAAAAAAATGTGCTGTTTCCTTCCAAACCTTGGGTTCTTCCCCTCCTTGGCTTCCCTCTCAGCAACCCGCTACTGAAGGGCCCTGGAACAGGGGGGATGGACAGAGGGGATGGCTCCTGGTGGCCCGTGGGGACCTGGTGGCAACTGATGGGCTTCGGGTTCAGGCCAGCCCACCACAGCAAGAGCCCATCACCCATCCCACAGCTCTGGGTATTCCTCAGGGGAGTTTTCCTCATTGCATTCCACCAGTTTCAAGAAGCCTGTCCTGCTGGCAGAGTGTCACTGTCACCTCCTCAGCACATCATCAGCCTGACGTGATAGATCCAACATTTTCGTGGATAGGCAGGGCTGTAGGTCCATCCCCACAGGAGCCTTATCAGCTCGTGGGTGGAGAGCTCAGGTCACCTCCCCCATCCAGCAGACCACCTGTGAGCTTGTTTTCCAGCCACTAAATTAAACCCATGGTGGAAACTCTGAAGCTGATTCCTCTCCAACAGCACACGGGCAGAAGGAAGGACCAGCCCCAAGCCACCAGCAAAAGGTCAGGAGCCTGATGAGTGACCTGGGCCATGTTTTCCCCAGGCTCAGCTCTGCCCTGCAAATCCAGAATCACCAGCACTGTAAAGCTTTCCCTGAAAGGCAGGGAAAAGCCTGAGCATCTCCAACCATGGAGCTGAAGGCAACCTCTAAACCTCTTCTGCCCCATCAGCAGAGCCAACAGACCCACCACCACCGCGACTCTGAGCAAGGAGTAGAAGGTCCATGTCTCCCGGTGCTCATCCAAGGCTGGATCCACCACCCAGCTTCCCAGAAAGAAGAGACTGAGCATCTGGGTGCTGCACGAGGAAGACTCATCCTCCCACCACACGTAGGACGGGTGTCCAACCTCAGCCCATCGACCTCACCTTCTCAGAGGGCTGAGCGTCCTGTGAGAGCTCCTGGTAGGCACCCACATCCTCCCAGGTGGTGATGAAGGCACTGGTGGGCACGAAGGAGCTGGCAGTGCTGGGGAAGCCAGCCTGGATGTAGCTTGCAGCCTGATCCAGCACATCTGGAGAGTCATCCTGCCGGTAGTAGATGTTCCCTCTGTCGCCGGAGGTGTCGAGGTCGGCCAGGAAGGGAGCGATGACAGGGAAGTCTGTGGGGAAATCGTCATCCACGTACTGGGTCTCCCTGGGGAAATCCTGGGTGGAGATGACCCCGTTGGTCCCCACCTGCAGGGAGAGCGGAGGAAGGGGGCTCAGGAGGCGACTCCACCACCAGTCCAGTCCTCCCTCTCCCCAGTGGAGCAGGACACAGGGCTGAGAGCCCTGAGGCTGCCTGGCCCCATCCTGCTAAGGAGGAAACAAAGACCTCGGGCTTCTCCATCCCCCCAGAGAGCTGCAGCTCCAGGGCCATCCCAGCTGCAGCCGCTGCTGGTGGGGGAACAGCTGTGGAGGAGAAAGGGCTCTTGTTCCTCCAGAGAGGGAGACACCGGGCAGGGGACAGCAGGGTGGGGGGGGAAATGGGATGGAGAAAAGGGAGGGATGCAGGAAAGCCATGTGGAGCTAAGGCACTCGTGGAGGGGGAAAAGGGGGGAGAAGGGGTGAGGGGAGGTGGGTGGCCAGGGGGTACGGCTGGGAAGGAAGGGGATGAGCAGGAGGAGGAATGGAAAGATGGAGCAGGGGGGAAAGAGAAGGAGGGATGGTGGGAGAGAGGGATGGAGGAGGGGAGGAAGGTGGAAAGAGAAGGAGGGATGGAAGGAGGGAGGGATGGGAAGGTGGAGGGGGGAAAGATAAAAACGGGGAGGGATGGTGGGATGGAGAGGAGGAGGGTGGTAAGATGGAGAGAGAGCGAGGGACGGAAGGAGGGAGGGACAGAAGGATGGAGAGAGGGCGGCGGGATGGAAAGGAGGGAAGGACGGTAAGATGGAGGGGCAGAATGGGGCGATGGAGGGGGCTGGGGAAGGAGGGG